ACCTTGACCAGCTTCTCCCTCACCCTCGGCTTGACTTACTGCTCGTCATGGTTCCTAAAATCAAGAAAAGCGTCACGCACGCCGACGAGGTGCAGATTGCTCAGGCCGAAGCACCAGAGCTCGAAAGAGTCAACTGGCTGCAAGATCCTGGGTTGAGGAAGCTTTACTTCTACGCGGCCATCATCTGTGTGGCTTCCGCGACAACCGGCTATGATGGGTAAGTGTGCGCAAATGGATGGATATAATCGTCGTATTGATGTGTAGCGACTGACATTTCACAGATCTATGTTAAACAACATCCGTATTCTGGATCAATGGAAGGACTACTTCGACGACCCCCAAGGCTCGAATCTGGGTCTTTTGACCGCCTTGTACAGTATTGGATCTATTGCGAGCTTGCCTGTGGTGTAAGTCGGGTCCATACCTCGGTTGACATGTTGGGATTTCGTTGCTGACACGATCCAGACCCTTCGTCGCTGACCATTTTGGTCGCAAGGTGGCCATCGTCGCTGGCTGTATTATCATGATCATTGCCGCAGCGATTCAAGGCGCTTCTCAGAATCTCGCCATGTTCAAGGGTGGCCGATTCCTCATGGGTTTCGGAAACAGCATGGCCCAACTGTCTTCACCTTTGCTGCTGACCGAACTGTGCCATCCTCAGCACAGAGGCCGTATCACTGCCATTTACAATTGCCTGTGGAACTTGGGGTCCATCATCAACACCTGGCTGTCCTTCGGCACCAAACACATCCCAACCGAGTGGTCGTGGAGAATCCCAACCATCGTCCAGGGCGCGCCGTCCATTATCCAGATCATCTTCATCTGGTGGATCCCAGAGTCACCCAGGTGGCTGATCTCGAGAGACCGCTCGGACGAGGCTCTCGCGATCCTGTCCAAGTACCACGCCAACGGCAACGACCTCCACCCTACAGTGCAGTTCGAGTACGCCGAGATCAAGGAGACGCTGCGCCTGGAGTTCGTCGCCAAGAAGTCGTCCAGCTACCTCGACTTCCTCAAGACGCGCGGGAACCGGTACCGACTGCTCCTGATCGCGTCGCTGGGTCTGTTCTCGCAGTGGTCTGGTAACGGGCTGGTGTCGTACTACGCGACCGACATCTACAACTCGATCGGCATCACCAACTCGGACACGCAGCTGGGCCTCAATGGCGGGCTGGCCATTATGTCGCTGATCGTGTCGTGCACGTGCGCGCTGCTGTGCGACAAGGTCGGGCGACGGCCACTTTTCCTGGCCGCCACGGCGGGCATGCTGGTGTGCTTCACCATCTGGACGATCTGCTCCAGCATCTACCAGGACCACCACAACAAGGGCGCCGGCCAGGCCGTGGTGGCCTTTATCTGGATTTTCAACTTTTCGTACGCCCTCGCCTGGTCCGGTCTGCTGGTCGCGTACACGGTGGAGATCCTGCCGTTCAAGATTCGCGCAAAGGGTCTGATGGTCATGAACTTTTGGGTCCAGGTCGCGCTGGTCATCAACCAGTACGTGAATCCTTTGGGATTTGACCACCTGAAGCCGAATTGGAAGCTCTATACCATTTACACTGTAAGTTGTTTCCCATCGCAGCTCGCTTTCTCTTCCGAACACATCCACTATCCCCGGTCATGTCTTATATCTTACAACCGTCTTTCATTGCACTCTCTTCCTTTTCCCTTCCTCTTTGCTCCGTCTCATTTTTCCTTCCTTTATGTTTACCATCACCTTAATCCTCTTTTGCCACTCATTAACAACGCGGAAAAAAGTGTTGGATCGCCCTGGAACTCGTCTTCGTCTACTTTCTGTACGTCGAGACCAAGGGCCCCACGCTCGAGGAGATTGCCAAGATCTTCGATGGGGAGGACGCCGAGGTCGGCATCGTCGACGTCGAGATCGACCCCAAGACCAGGGCCGTGCTAGCCTCGGGCACCGAGAAGCTAGACGCCGCCGCCGTGGTCGAGCATCGGAGCGTCGTTTGAGAGACCAGACAGGACAATACCGGACCAGATCAGAGCAGACTTTGACTTCTCAACATTGTGTATGTGTCTGTCTGTGTCCGTCTACGAGAGGATTTGGACAGAATGGGGTAATGAATGAATGGAACGCCGTGCTGTGTATATTCTGCGATGGTCTGCCGTGGTCGGTGAGATCATGTGGGGATATGCGTGCCCAATTCAACGTCAACGGAATACGGTGAGACGGGGCTCTATAGACCTTCCTACCTTGCTACCTTCCTACCTTAACCTGCAGGACCTTGTTCAAGGAAAGCCAAGTCGGTAATAGTGAACAATAAAAGGCCAATCTTGGTATATTACTACGTAGGACTTTCCTATGTACTTGCTACATTCCACCTCTGCTCTCCAGTCCACGTGCACATTCTGCGAGGTATGTCGTGTTGTAGGATAATGATTATGCTCCTACGTGAAACTCGTGTTTGGAACTGCACTCAACATGACCTAGGCCGACAGTCAGTCTCCAACTCTCCTTCCCCTTCCCTTCCCTTCCCTTTCTCTTAGCCGCTGTACACATGCATTTATAGATCCCGCAGAAATTAAATCCCGAAACGAAACGTGGTCGTCGCGAGGGAGGGGCGAAACACGAAGCAGTATCACATTGCTTTGTAAGAGGCAACCCGTACCAGACGTCGTTCGTCGTTGGAATTTAACCGGACGGCAGGCTTAATTACTGGCTGGCACTTACCCACTCACATAGATATGTAGGGGTAACCAACTGGTTGGTTAGTTCGATAGGCAGAACGATTGTGCGAAAGACAAGGTGGATGGCGCGAGACGAGGGCCAAAAAAAAAGGGAGATAGACGATGGAAAGGGAAGGTGTGGTTCTTTCGTTCAGTGAGGGGGATTCGGCTCTTTCGATCGGCTTTGACACAAGCGGGTGAGAGTGATAAGGGCATAAACATTAAACATGCGAACAAGTTGTACGATTAGAGTAGCGTGGAGGTGGAGGTGGATGTGGAGGTGGAGATAGAATGGAGAGGAATAATTGACGATTGGGTGGCGTGCTGTTGTTGTCGAGTAAGGTGACTTGTCGTCTTATCCAGTCCAGAACCGGGAACAGATTATCGGATCAGGTTGCTCAGATTACACCGATACTGTGTATCCGTGCCTGATCGAGAGATGCTTCGTAAAGTCTTCTCGTTTGCCCTGCGGACATTTCTTCCATTGCTCTTCCAAGCTGTTCCTGTGCTGGCAGGCTGAGTACTGGCTCGAGGAGCCGCGGTCACGTACTTGCACACTGGACTGACAACCATGCCCGTTTTTAAGTTCTCATACTCCAGTAGAACATGATTATGCAACCTACATACTTGTATTGGAAGCTCTGGGAAGCTGAATCTGCTAATTCGAGACCATCCCTACCTTGTGCCGCGAGAAGGGAAGCCGATTCCGTTGTTCTATCAACCAAGTCCCCGGGAATAACAGTACGGAATGAACCATGAAATGGCTGATGATGCTGCTGCTCAGTACTGCTCATGAAGCTCTCTTTTGTCAAAATGATAAAGGGCACGGCCTTGCGCCGTTGATCACATAAATATACGCCGAAGGAAGTCTGGAATGCAGGAATCGGATATGTTACTGACGCCTTGTCTCTCAAGCGAACGTGCGTATTCGTGACCAAGCTGCTTGCCAGATGACATGATCGAGCTGTGGCAAGACTGCAGGAGTTCATAGAGAATGGTCTTCCTCTTCCTGGCAATCGCTGTGGATTACGTTCCGTACCATGCAAGAGTCTCTCCCTCCGAAGTCTTGCAGTCCTTGGAGTAAGGTCTGGTCAATCTGAAAGCTGCTGGAGTCAGGGAGACCGCCCGGGGCAACTGTGACTAGGGCACAACAATCTCTCTTCCACACACACAAAGTCCACCCCTCACAAAATCCATGTCTTCTGAGAATACAAAAAACTTTTTCCACCAGCCCCTTTCGAAGGGGGTGGTGGTAAGTTAAACCCACTGTTGCAGGTTTTTCCGTGGTTGTGATATATTGACTCCTTTGGCTCAGTGCCAGGTACCTGATATATCTCTCGCTCGATAGAGGAGGAGGATGAGGTGGAGGAGGATCGCCTACTAGAACCATTTCCTTCATGTGTTGACTTCGTTAAGTCTCTTTCTATCCCATGTTTTGGTTTGTTGACTCTTGTAGTCTCTTTCCTAGTAGGGGTCTTTGCGATTGTGGAAGAATTTGGGTAACACCAATATTTATATAATAATTTCTAGATTCTCTATGTGGGCTCTGCTTTAGGTCTTTGTGCTGTGTGAAGAATTGTACAAGAACGGGTGTGGGTGTGGCAGATGTTGGATCTAGGGAAGATGGACTATGTCACAAGTGGGCTTCTGTCCTCTCTGCAGTGGTATCGCTACAGGGAGGTCCAGGACGATACAGTCTTGAGCTCCAATACCTACCAACATACGTTTACACATGATCCGACATGATATATACAGACTCCTCGAAGGTGTTGATAGGGACAAGGCTGAGGCTGTCAGTCTTGTGTGGAGTGACGAGTGACGTCAAGCAGCAGGCACTCAAAACGGCAACTCAGACGAGTTCCTCGCCTGCTTTTTCCGAAACTCAGGTGACGGCCACAATAGGCGAGACAGAAGCAAATGCAATGCCAAAGAATTTGTTGGTTGCAATCTCGGTACTTGGTCCTGGGGTCTAGCAATCAAGGAATACAACATCGACCACCGACCCAGTGACATTCCCCTTGCCTTATCAAAGTCTTCACTTTCATTCACCTCAGTCTGTCTATTTCCCTCCTTTTCAACAAACGGCAGGTGGTGCGCAGACAGACACTGCAAGGCAGCCGATCGCATCAGCGGATCACATCAGTTGGCCCTCCTACCTCCGACCTCCGGCTGCTGCGCGCATGTGCTCTGTCTGAGTGAGCAATCCAGGCATCCGAGCCAGAGCATATATACACAAAGATAAACAATGCGAGATACACGCGGTTGCCCCTTACTATAAGGCATAAAAACATTTTTCAGTGGCCTTGTCAACCATGGCCTTCAACTTCAACTGGTCTCCATTGTCTACCGACGCCGGCTTCCTGCCACGCGCGCAAGAACTCCTCACCAATGCTCTCAATCGAGCCGACCCTAAGCCTGCGATTATTGTCGACGATATAATTGTTAATGAGCTCAATCTGGGAGATGTTCCCCCTGAGCTGGAGATATTGGAGATTGGAGATCTGGCAGAGGATAGATTTCGCGGGACTTTCAAGATGATGTACAAAGGCAACGCATATCTTACACTGAAGACAAAAGTTCAAGCAAACCCGTTGAATACATACCTCAGCACTCGCTCGGCGTTTGCTACACCACGACCTTTGGCTGCTGACACAGGCCTGACGATACCGCTCCAGATCACCTTGTCCGAGTTCCGCTTGTCCGGATTCATTATTCTGGTCTTCTCGAGACAAAAAGGCTTGACACTGGTTTTTCGCAACGACCCTCTGGAGTCTCTACGTGTATCCTCGACTTTTGACGCAATACCTTTTGTTGCAAACTTTCTTCAGAAGGAGATTGAAACCCAGCTGCGTGGACTTTTGATGGACGAGCTACCCGCAATTATCCATCGACTCTCCTTGCAGCTGTTAGTTCCAGAGGACAAAGCACGAGAAGAACGTCAGCTCGGGAGTACGCAGCTATCAAGGGATGAAGTTGTGGTTGACCCGTTGGCTAGTCCACCGCAAGACCCAGTCGACTCTACGGGCGCAGTGTTGACCCCAGCAGAAGTCGCGTCTTTATCATTGGATTCATCCGTCGAGACACAGTCTCTATTCTCACGAAAGAATCTCCTACGACTTGCCACCTTGACCGATTCTCACCGCACATTGTCTCTGTTTACCCCTCCTATTCGAGATGCTGTCTTCCGAGCCTGGACGGGTCCTTTGGAAAGAGGAGAGATGCCAGGAATTCTTACCAGGACAACATCTCCAGTCCTGTCTCGCAGCCACTCGTATGCTGGAAGTCTGAGCACGTCGACAGCATATACCTTGGACAGTGCTTTCTCTCGGCCGACCCTGTCGAGCTTCCCCTCAAGTCATGGATTCAGTACAAGTGGTGGAAGACACGGGCAAGCACACAGAGCGCGTAGGAGGAAGAAGCGTGTTGTTGACCTACGCCCACATCCGGAAACTGGGGAACCTGAATTGGTCGTCGAAGATGGTTCGACAGCTGATTCCACCAGCGTGTCGGAAAGCGCATCAACCGCGCCTTCTGTCTTCTCAGCGCCTGCTGCCACCATGTCTTCTGATCCGACTCAAAGCCTGAATCCTGTCACGCCGCCAAGAAGCCCCATCGCTATCAAGCGCACGGCAAACTTTCAGGGAGGGATGCGAAGTGTCAGCGAAGGTATTCCACCACAGGAGGCCATGGATGAGATCGAAGAACCATCACCAGACATCCATCAGACCCCACGAGCCAAGGATCCCAACGCGACCGTGCGTATTGGAAATCGAAGAACACTTCCTTCTTACGATAACGACGAGACACCTCGGGCTTCGATGTATCTACTTGATCAGAAGGAACCGCCCCTTCCTCGACAACCGGCCGAGCCCAAGGTTGTTGTGGGTGAAAAATCCGAGCCCCGCCCCATCGCAGGCCCCTCGCGGCCTGCTCTCCCAAATTTTCTTCAATTTGTCGCAGACGCATCCAACGCGGGCAGTATTGCCGAACGCGCCTGGATGTTGAAAATGGCCAATGAGATGGCACACCGGTATGAAGAGGAAAGGCTTAAAGGCAGCTTTGGACCTTTGCCTCGCGAGGAAGAGACGATTCCTCCTCCAGCCTATGCGCGATGATGTTTTTGTAACTCGTCTTGAATTCCTTTTAGCGAAGCTTTTGCACCAAAAGTTTGCTGTTTCTTTTGCGGTGTACCACCAACTAATGGCGTGACGAGGATTACGATGTTGATGTAGATAGAAGTCAGACTCCTACGATGCTTAGGATCCTTTCATGGATCCTGATTGCTGGGTTTATTACCATTCTATGTACCGTTGTTAAGTGTATACAATTCCAACGATATCAACAAGGCGCTGGCGGACCGCTATTTTAACTTCTCTGTAGCGCATTGACAATTTGAGACAGCCAGAACCATATCCCGAGTGCTGCATTTCCTATGGGTTTGGGTATTGTAGCCAGGCACGGAGACTTCGTGGCCAGTTCTACCGAGAATACGACGTTAAGAGAGTTCTGCGTACCGAGTCTTAATTAGTGGATGCTGCAAAGCCCACGCGGAGTGCTTTTTGTACAAATTGTGGAGAGCTGGAGCAAGCCACTGTCTTTTCTACCTCTCCCTCCCTCCCTCTTTCGTGAACGCAACACAGAGCGCAGCCCTTTTCTGCGCTTGGAGAGCTGTCCGGGTCATTTGCTTGATCCAGAACATTCCTCTTCCCTTGTCATTATGGACTACTTCAAAGGTCTTCTCGGCCCAAAGCCTTCCCAGGCGCCCGTGGCTGCTGATGATGCAGGTGAATAAACAGCACCCTCCATTGTCTCGTGCCTACTTACTAATGTCGACTTTCTAGATTTCGCAGACTTTGCAGCTGCTCCTGCGCCCTCGCCAGCCTCCATCCCTGTCTCCCCCGCCGATGCGCAAGCTGCTACTGCAACTGGAGCTGCTGTTGAAGGTCGTCCGGTGGTCTACACGAAATGGTACCGCGTGTGGGAACGGACACAGCTGTCCGACTTCACGATGGAAGGAATCCTGATCCCGTTCATACTTCTCGCGCTCCTGGTTCATTTCTGGGGAACGAGGACAAACCGGCGCAAAGCGAAGAAGTGGATGGGTGTCCATGCTCCTCTTTTGGAGCGAGAGTTTGCGGTCGTTGGATACGGCGCGATCCCAAACACCGAATCCACTACAGACGGTGGAGTGTCTCCTGGAGATGCGAGCTTTTTCAAGGAGGTCGTCAAGAACAAGGGCGATAACATCTCGGAAGATCTGTTGAAAGAGAAGACTGCCTGGGAGTATGAGTCGTATGCGACGGGACGTCAAAACGTCGCATTCATGGATATCCAGATCTACTTGAAGAGACGGATGAATCCGATGATAATGCTCGCTGAGGAAGTCACTGGAATGTTTATCGATTCGGTCAAGCCCAAACCCGAAAGGATGGAAGCCGTCATCTACACCTTTGATGGGAAGGAGAAGGAATTCGTCCCACCGGCCGTCCCAGGATCTGAGGAAGTGGGCAAGGCAAAATCCGTGGGAAACTCGACCTACGATCCGTTCGTCTTTGCCGTGGTGAACAAGCTGGCGATGCGCAAACTCCGCGAGGAACGTTACGATATCTCTCTCACATTCACCAAGGACCACGCCAAACTCCCCGAATGGGCTACATGTATGAGCGAGTCTGCAGAAATCAGTGACTGGATGCTCACCAAAGAGCTTGTCGATGCAATCAAGGAAGCTGGCCCCGACCACTTCCAGTACCTCGTCGTCACGGATCAACCTCACGACAAACCCACCAACTTGAACGAGACGGTTCCGAAGAAGCGGCTTCAAATTTCACTCCGTCTTCCTTCTGACGGCAACTACCTCCCTACCCTGCCTGTCTTTGCTGCTTTCCTTCGCCTACCTGACTTCCTCGTCTCGCAGTCCCGCCTCCGACCCGAAGTCCTCAGAAAGATCAATTCGATTCGCGAGCAGGAAAAGAGCAAGCTAAAGAAGATTTCGGATAAGGAGGCGGAAGAGGAGAGATTGAGACAATTGGACAAGATGAAGAAGGAAGAAAGAGAACGAAAGATGAAGGGCATGAGCGCCGAGGAGCAGAGGAAGTTTTTGGAGCGGGAGAACGAGAAGTCGCGGAAGAAGCAGGAGAAGAAGATGACGAGGAGAGGTTGATGGGCAATTGGAGCCCCAAAGAACCATATGTGCAAAGGAGTGTGGAAGGACGGGATTTATGACAGATGTAATATGATGAGCGGCAGATGTTTATCTCGGCTGCCCTTGATCGTGTCACATCTCGCACTATTCTTGAGAACATAATTACCCCAGAAGATATTTCTCTTTCGGTATAGACTTGCACAAACATTACATGATTGCGCACAGATGTGTATGTCACGAGGTGTCTCAAGAGGTCTAATGCGGGCTCCGATTTCTGCGGAGGTTTCCAAACGTCGGGGGAAGCGGCTGTGTCAGCACCTTGTCGCAGAGATGTACTCGGTACAAAGCCTTCTGTTCCCATTGCTGCACCCCAGATCGGCTTCTTCCTGAGCAAATCCAAAATTAGGAGCCTCAAAAAGTGGGTTTGGTGGGCTGTGCTCAGCCTAGGTACTCCCCTCCAAGTAAAATGTCAGGCCGAAACCGCATCCGCCCTGGCAAATTCCACCCAAACCTATTGCTTGGCCGCTGACTTGTTCACCTCGATTGGATCTGCCCATCCCTGTTTCAACCTTGGTTCATCCAGCGCAGTTTGAGACTTGCTTGATCGGCGTGCCGCATCTGGGGGCGAGGCTAGACTCTGCCACCGCCAAATGTTTCCGTACGCGCGGCTGGTGGCTCCAGGTCTCCTCCTGCACAAGGCTTCTGGCATCTGTCCAAGCCTCAGCCGCTGCAAGGCAACGTCCGTGGTGGTGCTGTGTCAAGGTTAGAAGCAGGACTTCGGACCTTTCCTCTCTTTTCATTTTGCATTGTTTCTTTTTCTCCCAGCCTTGCCTTTGTATCTCTTAGTTTGTGGAGTGAATTCTTTTTTGGACAACTTGACTGCTACACAGATTGGATAGAGAAGATACCACATCCCGCACGAGACACAGTGTTACGACGGAGTTGCGCGATCCCTCTCTCCCACACTCGCAAACATGCATTTACGGTCGCTTCTGTCCCTCGTCTCTCTCCTCAGTGTCGGCATTGCGGCTTCACTCGACGTATCGGCGACAAAACGCCAATCGACCGCATGCAACAACTCCCCTTCCCTGTGCTCGAAACCCTACAATAGTGTCGTCCATCTGGGTGCCCACGACTCACCTTTTGTCCGAGATGCCTCTACCGGCTTTTCGACGTCGGGAAATCAATACTACAATTCGACAGTACAGCTGTCGGCGGGTGTCCGTCTGCTTTCTGCCCAAGTTCACCAGTCGAACGGGGAATACCACTTGTGCCATTCTTCCTGCGATCTGTTGGATGCGGGGGTTTTATCAGACTGGCTGGAAGAGCTTAAGACGTGGCTGGATAACAATCCCAATGAAGTCGTGACGATTCTCCTGGTCAACTCGGACAATGCCACCCCAGAGGAGTTGGGGGCACATTTCACAACGGCACAGATCACAGACTATGCCTACGTCCCTCCTTCGACAAGCACGCCCCCTTCGTCGGGTGCCTGGCCAACCCTGCAAGAGCTGATCACAGCCAACAAGAGACTTCTCGTCTTTGTGGCCTCTCTCTCGAACCCGGCGTCTATTCCAACCCAATATGCCTACCTCATGGACGAGTTCACCTTTATATTCGAGAATTCCTTCGACAACAGCTCGCCCAGTAACTTCAGCTGCCTACCCGACCGGCCGACCGTCGTTCAAGGAAACTCGCAAGCGGCTATTGCCTCCAATCGGATGGGTCTGATGAACCACTTCCTCTACGTAGAAGGCCTGTTCGATATCCAGACTCCCAATGTGGACAACATCACCACCACCAACGCGCCTGGCAACGACGTTGGGAATCTCGGGTACAGCCTGTCCCAATGTAACTCGGCATACGGTAAACCACCCACGTTCACCCTCGTAGACTTCTTCGACGAGGGCCCCGCGATCGCCGCCGTCGACGCCATGAACGGCGTCACCGACCCTGTTGGCCGCACCTCCGTCCCCCCGAGAGATTCCAAGAGGAGCTCCGATCGCAGCGAATCGAGTTTTCAGGGAGTGACGGACCTTGTGAATGATGTCAAGGACGGGAAGAAACCAAAACTGGCCGCCTGGATCTGGGCTGCTGGGCAGTGGACATTCGGCGGCATTAATCTGAGTGGTGGCAACGTCTTCCAGAAATAAATACGAGAAGAAATGGTCAAGCCAGATACTATGTTGAGGAGACATGCACATGCAAAATGAAAGAGGAGGGCTTAAGCCGTTGACTTGATCCTACGGTTGTCCCATATGTTCTTCACCAGAAGCAAATGACGCGTCAACCCCAGCGCAGATCTGCAGACAGCAGAACACCACACCACACACCAGGAACAAAAATCGTTTTGGAGAAGGAGGATCTGGATCAGACGGCAAGATGGCAGCCCGGAATATACAGAGGGCGGACCGACGGACAGACGGACGGTCCAACCGACATGAATCCCTTTCACGACGACATGACAACGACAGCGACAGCACAGCACAACACGGCCTATACTGGACACTGGCATGACCTTGAATTCGTTGAGATATTCACTGCATAGCGACACGGCGTTACTCTTTTGTTTTGCGGTTATCAGTTTTGAAATTGTTTTTCTATCCCCTCTGGCTTTGGATCTTGGATCTTGGATCTTTGGAAAAAGGGGAGGATTTTTTCCCAGGAAGTCAGGGACATATATATTCACACGTATGTTACGCCAGAGCGAGTATATGTGGAAAGGTCTGGGCTGAACTATTTAATGCCTTGTGAGGAGATTAGGAGATCAATCTCGAGTGCAGATGCGATTGCGGATCATGGTGTCAATTTACGATCGTGGCTAGCAATCGAATCCGAAATGAGACCTTAGAAAGCAAGAGAGACTCAATATCTTGACATCTTGACATTCAATCCGCAGCACCATATCATCCAACTGTATAGGGACCTAGGGACCTAGGTACCTAGCTAGGTAGCTACAACATGTATTGTCAA